AAATTTATTGAAAAGTTGTCAACAAATAGAAATGGAATAAGTATTTATGGTTTTCTTCAGAAATAAATTAAACTTCTTGTATTTTACATTAGATTGACTCACCTGCACTTTGTCAGCTCTGTCTGCCTGTCTCTCTTTAAACTATTATCATATATTTTAGCTTTAATGTCATATCTGTAAATCTATGTTTTATATTTTGTAATAATGTATTAAGAAATGTTTCCTCTTGGTTAACCTATCTAAATAGATCCTCTGTAATAAATGCATTTCCTTTTTTCACACATATACACACACACATGCATACAAAACAAATAAAAAATGTTCATCAATCTATCATGTTTGATTTTTTATTAAAATTCCATCATATGAAGAAAAAGAAGAAATTCTGGTATTTTGGACACCAGCATGATTTTATGACCCCACTTCTGGAAAGGACAGAAGCTTTCCAATGATATTGTTTGGATGTGACTTGCAGCCCTTCTCATGAAGTAAGTAATTTGGTCATTCCAACTCAGTGCAAAGCTGACTTGAACTTGACCATTTTAACCATTATTATCCTTACTACAAATAACTTACTTCTGAACCAAAAAAAAAAACAGACACTGAGAAGTTTGATTTATTACAGTCACTATAAAAAAGAATAAATGGTCCATATTAGTAACCCAAGATTTCATATGCTTCTTCTGAATTGTTTATCATATATGAACATGCACACACCTAATATACACATAAACATGCATAAAACTGGCCATTAACAACTACCTTCAGGGACCTATCCATTAGGAAAGACTTTATAATTGAGAAGAATCTTCCAGTGATTCCATAGCTAGAGAGCTTGTAAAGAAAAGCAAGAAGAAAAAACAATTAAGTGTATAGTTGTCAGCAAGAGGAAGAATTTAAGGTGTCAGCTATGCATTTGTGGAGTTAACTCCACTTACTTTCCTAAAACTGCTACTAGAGGATACTCTCTGGACTATAAATACTCTGCGATATTTTTCTGCTTACACACCAACATGTAAGTCTCTCATGGAAAACATAGGAACACACACACACACATGCACACACACACACACACACACACACACACACACACACACACACACACACACACAGATATGTATGCACTTTCACTCATCCTTTGAACTTTAAACATTTTCACATTCTTTTTTTTTACACACATAATTGTCTTTGTTACTTGTATACCTTTCTTGTTAATACATTATCATTTGTTTGTACATATATTGGTTCTTGTTTCTTTGTATTTTATCATGAAAGACACACATGCAAGTCCTTCATTTTTGTTGTGGGTATTCCAGGAGACACATGTTTTTCCAACTCAAACACCTGACATACTAAAACCCACAACACATTGGACACATCAGAATCAAGCAGATACAAAAGTTTAACTAACTGGGTAGTGTCATACCAGACAATGGAAAATGTGATACAGAAATCCAAAGCCACATTGGTTTAGTAACCCTTATTTCAATTTCAGACATTTTCTTGAATTTCATTGGTTGTTAAATCATACTTATTATAAAACCCAACTTGTGCGTGTGTGTGTGTGTGTCTGTGTCTGTACGTTTATATATTGGATCGGATTTCCTACATTTTTCAACTGATTTCAACAAAACTTCACAGGACTACGTAAAATTACCTTGTGGTGGTTCTGACATCGCCAAAAATTGGAATAACACAATTGTTTTTGCACAAAATCAATTTGAAAACATGATTAAGAGGCATCGCGAAAATGAAAGGGGGACAACTCATATCGAGTTATACTTATTATAAAACCCAGGTTGTTTGTTTGTGTGTGTGTGTGTGTGTTCATTTATATATGGGATTGGATTTCCTACATTTTTCAACTGATTTCAACAAAACTTCACATTTTTGGGGGGCCGATAGTGTTTCTTATTGTCTTAAACTTTTTCTTTATTTTTACATTCAGAATGCTTTAAAAATTCCATTTACAAGACAATTGTTTATAATAAAATTCTATTCACCAATCGGTAGACTCATAACGATTGAAAACAATGTTTTTGTTTGAGTTTGACCAATTCGCAAAAAAAAAAAAAAAAAACTAGTTAAGACATGCGTGTCCGTCAACCTTAAACAATAATCTTTGTCAATTTTATTTTTCAGTCTTTATAATGGTCGATACTTGATCTATTTCTTACTGTTACATCCCCGGGCAACACTACTCTACTGCTACTGCAAAATAAACTTTGAGAAATTTCCATAAAAAATCAGACAAATTTTGTGCAAAAGTAGGCTCAACTGACTTAAAAAAATCTTTCTCAAATTCACGTCTAATTTAAATGTTTCAAGAAATCCTATTGGATAAAAAATAGAAAAATACAATCTTGCTCATGCCTTTCTTGGAATTATTGGCAACGTCTGCCAAGCTTCTGTTGAGCTGATTTAGTCATTAAAAAAACTATAAATACAAACGACGAAAAAGTTTTTGGCACATTGAGAATCTCACATGCAAGGGTTACGCATAGAGATTTACTCGCATGCAGAGAGATATTTACGCACACAAGGGAGATATTTACGCACACAACGGAAATACAAACTCAGAGAGACACCAAGAAAGAATTTAATTTTTATACTGCATTTTGGAACAAACTTCCTTTATGAAAGATTAGGAAAATTTCAATGACAAACCTTTTCCATTCAATATCTTTCTTAGAAAAATTTTTGTCTAATTTAAATTTAAGTTTTATAGTAAAAGGCAGACAAATTTTACTTACTTTCAGCATTGAGCATTTCCAAAACAGTAAAGAACTTTTTCTCTTAAATATACTCTTGCACACATCATTACAAAACAAAAATTGTGTATATAAAAATTAATTTGTTGTTCTAAACTTGTCATTTTTGTTGTTACCATTTGACCTTTTTTTTATAATTTATGTGTGTGGATGTTGCATGTTTTATTTGCAGCGCAACTTTAAATATTCATACAGCCTTCCTAGATCCACAACATTGGAATAGCAAAGGATGCCTTCCAGAGGTTAAACAAAGTATTAAAACACAGGGAAATTTTGTTAGAACAAAGAAAAGAGTATTGAACTTCTATGTAATATCTAACCTCCTGGGTAGTCCTGTCTAAACATCTCGGTCAAAAAAGCTTTTGCCATAAGGAACATAGGATTACATTTCTTTTTCACATAATTTATTATAATAGAAATGTGGTTTTATAGGAGGAGTTTAACAATACCATGAAGAGAACAACTGACTAATGAGGAAGTTTTAAGTAAAATGGCTATGAAAAGGGCACTTACACTTAGACTCAGAAAGAGACAGTTGAAATTTCTCAGACACATAATGAGGAAGAAGAGCTTGGAGATTTTAACACTCACAGAACATATTGAAGGCAAGAGGTGGAGAGAGAAACAATGAATGAACTAACAAGTTCATGCAAAAATGAGTTTATGATTATTAAATTTCTGGACTGAACTTAAAAATGAATTGGTGACTGAAGATTCATTTTTTCATTGTATACATGGGGTAGGTTCATGGGTACGTCCTGATGACTGCGGTACTGGTTAAAGAAATCAAAAATTTCTGAATGCCATCTTCAGTCATGTGTCGTATCAAATGGGTTATACGAATTACATAAAAAAGTGGGGGCTAAAATGTGGAATGTATTTATAATTATTGATTGAGCATTGTATCACGTTCATTTTATTTTTTATGGAGTCCCAAACAAATCGTTGTATTGTAAGTTGTAACAATTTCATATAATTATAATAATACAGTATACAGTTTTGCATTTTATTTGTCTATTCCCCTTATTGTGGTGTATTATAATTAATAATATCAAACACACGTAAAACTAGTAGTCTTATTTGTTGCTAGAGCATATCCAACGTAATTACTTATCCAAATGAAAAAAGAAATCTCGCACAGCGCCACCTATAAGAAGAGTAAGTAATAAAGACGCTTGTTCAGTTCCCATGGCAACCGCTTTATAAGTAAAGTGGTAATGGAAGTTTGCAGTCTTCCAAAATTCGCCGTTATCTTGTAAGAAAAAAAGGAAACAACAAATCCAACCGAAAGCTGAACATCCAACAAGGAAGAAGTGCGGTTTTTCGAATGGGGCTCTAAGTTACCGAATGTTTCTCTATCGAACTTTTCGGCAACAAAAGAGTAGTAAAGTCAAAAAGAAAAAAAGTCATGGAAGAAAAATAATTGAAAATAATGAACAACAAAAAAAATCAAAATTTTAAGCAATCCACACAGAAAAGGAAAAGAAATTTGTTCAACTGTTTCTTCAACTTAACTTTTTTTCAAACTTTAAGATTCACGAACGTTTAAAGCACAAGATGCAACTTGAGTAATAAAAAAAAAAAATACGCGTGAAAGTCATTTTTTAAATACAAAAAAAAATATAGATTAATTAACATACCAAGAAGAAAGGTTTTTCAAAACGGTATCAGAAAAGAGAGGAATAATTAAAGATTAGATTTATAATGACATTCTATCACAAGAGAATTAAACAGAAACTGCTCTAAAATTCTTGTTAAAAAGCTGCAGAAGAAAACTGACAAAAAGTTCTATGATTTTAAATTAATGATGAATGAATAGTTAAATTTTTGAATGATTAATTATTATTTATTATCAATAAAAATCAACAAAAAAAAAACACAATCAAAATAATTAAAACTAACAAAAAATATTTAACAATCAACCTCTTGTAATTTTTTTTTTTTACTTGTAGAAATTACTTCAAGCAAGTTTTTTTTTTTTTTCACTTTTTAAATTTCAAACCAATAAATAAAAAGATCTATCTTAGCTTACTGGTACAATAATAAGAATTAAATTACATATTTTTATTTTTTTCACAACTCTTTGGAGAAACATTTGTTGAGTCCATAACTTTTCCCTACATTAGTTAGTTGGTTATTTTTTGTTTCTTTTAAAATTTTATTGAACTTTTTGGTCAAACACAAAAAAATTTCATCATGGATATGGACAGGGTTGGATTATTCTCCGAGATGGGATACATCTCCATCGGAGACAAATATAAAACTCCTATGCAAGGTAAGACAATATAATTATTAGTATTTATTTTGATATTTAATTTACTTAACTTATTCTGTGGATTATGATATTTAAAATAATTAAAAAATATAACTAAAGTATTAGTAAAACCAGTTTTAAAACTACAACTAAATAAGAAGACTTATCGTCAACATTTTATAAAAAAATTACTTATTAATTAAATGAATTTGTTTTTAATCAATTAAAAAAAGTATTACTTTTTTTTAAATTTTTTTCCTATACTAACAAATATACTTAAATTTTCTTTCGGTCGTCCCATAAAATGCATTCAATTCTTGTCTGAAAGTAAACTTTGTGAATAGAAAAAAAGAAAAATGCTAGCGAAAATAAGTTGTTCCTTACATGTTGAAAGTTCTAATCTAACTGAGTCATTAATTTTTTTTTAATTAATAATAAGATTAAGGAAATTTATTTTTAATTTTATCTTACTGTCCTTTATGACAATAATGAAATTTGGTGCATTTAAATTGCTTAAAGACACTTTTTTGCTAATTTATTTTTAAAATTTTGCTTCAAGTCTCGTTTCTGGTAAATTAATTAGCTTTTGATTTTGTTATTTCTGTGGAATTTAACAGGGTGCGATGGGTAAATTGCCGCCATTTTACATTTCGATCATGCGCGTTATTTGTTTTTGAATTTGTCGCCTGCACAGTATAGTAGGGTCAGTTGGGCACCCTCTTTGAGAAAAAGAGCACCATAAAACAATTAACTCCTCAGAAATTTGGAAACAGCATGCTGTACTGCTTGGCATTCGCGCCGGAAAATTCAATACAAACATTTCAGTGAAGAGGACTTGGAAAGAGTTGGATCCAGTCAACATCATGGTGTTTGGAGTAATAACTAGTGATGACATTATGCCTCAGTTCCTCTTCTCACACGGCATCACTCAACACAGAAGCCTACATCGTACCTTAAGGTTGTAGTGCTTCCCTGGGTCAAGAGAGGGTAGTCGCTTGAACACCCTATGTCTGGCAACGGGACTCTGCACCATGCCACAAAAGCAAGAAAACATAGTCATGGCTGTCAGATAATTTCTGCGACCACATCGCCCTATCCACTTAACTCTCAGACTGCAACCCGGCCTTTTTGCTTGATTATTATGTGTGGGGTGCAGTTGAGTAAAGACCAACAAAACTCCAGGTAACACCAAAGATGAACTGAAGGCAAGCATTATGGCAGTGTTCACCAACTTAAAGAAGGAAACCATTCAGAAGAGTTACAGGAGATCCTGAAGTCATCTGGAGACCATGGTGGGAGCCAGTGGCGACTTTTATTCAATAAATTTACTCTTTAGTATTTCAAGATATTTTTGTGTAATTTTGTTAAATATATTTTTAAAATGAGATGTCAGTGTTATTTTCATTTTTTGCGTAATTTATTTGACAATATTTATCCATTGCACTCTGTATATTCACAAGTTATTTTTATCATTGAAATAGTGAACTATTAAAAAATTGTTATTTCCTTCATTTGGGAGACAACATTTGATCTTCTTAACTAGAGAAAAAATAAAACGAATTTACACTACTGTCATTTTTAAAAATACAAAACTTTATTATTTTTTTTTTAATTAGATTTTTTAGCCTTTTTAAATGTATTTTGAGGCTGGTTGAATAGCAATTAGAAACACTGAAACCATACCTATGTGTAATAAGTTCAAATACAGTCAGCCTTAAAAATTAAACTATGATTGTTGGTCCTTTTTTTTCTTACCAATAGAATTTTCTGTTTCATTCACTAAATAGGAAATTATTAGGGTGAATGAAAGCTTGACATATTTTCTTAATAAATATAATCTGTGATAGGGTTAGTTATTTTTAAAAATATGTTTCTATACCTATTTCTTTAATAATAAAATTAAATGTAAAATATTTTGAAAAAATCTTGTACAAATCATTGATTCTTTATTATTTAGTTGTATTTAATTAACTTCAAATATTTTAAAGCTAGTAAAAGTTGATTTTTTTTTTTTTTTTTTTTTTTTTAAGAATTGCACTTCAATAATGTTCTTATTTGGTTGTAGCTCTAGTAAGACATACTATAGAGCAATTGAAAAGATTATGGAGTTCAGAATTAACTGCAGTAATGGGTTGTGAACTATGATCTTGACTGAGGTTAAATAAGAGAAAGAATTTAGTTGTATCTAACAAAAATAAGTTTCAATAACATGATAGTGAAAATTTATAAAATGAATAATTGTTTTTACTTTTAAATAAATTCACTTTCAGTAATAAAACTCATTGCAAATTTAAAATCATACTGTATCGTTTTTTAATCTACAATCTTTTTATATAAACAAACTTATAATACAAACTAAAATCACATTAAAACAATTGTTTTGTGCTTTAAGTTCTAACATTTGATCTGTAATTTGATTTCAGTTTCACTGAGAAAAAGGGAAAGGATTTAATGTTCCTAAAAACAAAAAAAGAAGTGGCACTCAGGATGGATACTTTGCTGAAACATATAACCGTATTTTAGATGGCGAAGCCTATACTGATCAAATCAAGTTGAGACGACAGTTTCAAGTGAAAGAATTAAAAAAAAATTTAGCTAAAAATTTCATCCCAAGCAGTGGATACAAAGAAAGGTTGGTATACTTTTATTCATTTCAGTGAGTATTTTTTGTTACTTGAGAATCGTATCAGGCATTTTTTTTTTATTTTCCAAAGCAGTGCTTCTCTTTCTTGACTGTAATGTTTTAATGGAAGTTTAATTTTTTCATGTGATATGAACCAAACAAAATAATAAAAAGTAAAATTAGTAAAACCAAGTAATGCCAGGTAACCTTGTTAATCAATATGAGCTTCTTTTTCACTCTTATTTTTGAAAACACTTTTTTAGCAATTACAAAGAATTTAGAAGTGTATGGTTAATTATTTCAATCATAAATGCCATTAAGGATGTTGAGCAAATTTGGTCTGCTTAAGGATTTGTATTGTGTTGACATTGAAAACTACTGATCCTTTAATGTGATTAGTACCTGAATACATAGTTATGACAACCAGTATACAAAAAAATAATTTCTTCAGTCCAAAGACATTGTAGAGTTAGAAGCTTGGTATTTAGGCTATCATTTTGAGCATACTCTTTCATAATGCTGAACTAGTTGCTGTATCTCACATACACTCCTCTGAGGTTACTGTTGTTTTAACTATCAGTATGATTTTTGAACAGTTTTCCCCCTTCAGTGTGTACTGAAATCACCTCCATGACTCTCTGTCACTTTAAATCCATGACTCATTTATCAGATCCAGATAATTCACTTCATTAGTAATAAGCCACTATTACCAGGTATGTTCCTGTAATCTTCTTTAATTGCCAATTTTTTTTCGCATGAGGCACTACATGTCAGTATTACCTGGTGCTCCCAGAAATTTGTTATCAAAACCAATATCTTCATGTTCTACCAAACAGAAATTTATCACCAATTTTTCACATTAACCTTTACCCCACCAAATTCTTTCTAGAATTTGTTTTCACTAATAAATATATAATTCTCATCTGCTTTTCTGCTCACCTGTGACTTGTTTTTTCCTAATATCCTAAGAAAGAGATGAAGTTGTTTCTCTAAATCTGTTTTTGTCCACATACCAGATTCTTGATAGATAAGAAAATAAATTTTAGGAGAGAAGAAATTCAGATGGTTCTATTCTCACCAAGGATAATGTCTCCACTCTCTCTTCCAGTCTATATTTCATTTTGGGCTTAACTCTTTTCTTTTCCTGCTTAGGATTAATGTTTAGTCACCTCACTATCTCAGTGTCACAAGAAAAAAAATAATCAAAATTGATAAGGCCAAAAATGATTTAAATTTTTCTTTTACCAAATTCAAGTTAGTTGAAGAAAGAAGAGATTGGTAATTGAAAAGTTTTATTTTATCCTTTCTATCTCATGTTTTTTTTTTTTTTTTTTTTTTTTTTATTGCTTCTAAGTAAATTTGTTTTCTTTTTTGTAGCTGCGGTGTTGGTACTTTCTATGGAACATTGGGTGGTGTTGTGCCTGCAATGAGCAATGTCCACAAAAGTGGACCAGCATACAAACCACCGGGTAAAAATGTCTTAACCAACCCAAGTAAAAGAGGTACAGGTTATGGGTGGGTATCTTTAACCTATTTTGACATCATGTATTTACAAAACAATTGTTCGTGTAAAAGAAAGAAGGAAAAAAAAAATGAAAAAACTTAATTTGATAACTTTAAATTTTACTTTGTATTTATTTTGAAAATTTTTATTCATGTGAAACTTAAAAGTATTGATAAAAGCTGAGGTGTGGATGCAAAACAATTAAAAAAAAGTGTCAATATTGAGAGAACTTAAAATGATTACTTATTTTAGTAGATTGTTTTACTTACAATTGCTGTATGATTCAAACAATCATCGATGCATTGTTTAAACAAATTAGCCATAAATAATCAACAGTGCCTTTTTATAGCTTCCTGTCACTTACATTTTTGTCATCTAAGACTGTTTACATTTTCATCATAGTGAAGTAATCTTTCCAAGTAACATGGTAAATCAAAATAAACACTACATAATTTGTTGCATCAAAAAAATACTATTATTTAACAGAGGTCTGTAGAAACTGGAAAACTTTAATATCTAGTATATATATCAAATGATGCCTAAACCTATTGCTGTAATAGGTAACTATTAGCTATTATTTTTCTTTGCACTGAGGATGCGAGGTGGCATTATCATTGTTATGATGATGGCAAGCTTTTTCCAAGATGTTTACAGATGTGGCACCTTGCATTATTAGAAATATTCCTAGAAATATGATTTAATTTTTCTTACTCAGTTTATTAAACAGGTTGTTAATTTTTTTTAAAAAACGGAAAATAACTGAGTTGAAAATAATTCACTAAGAGTGTACTAGACGATCCTAAGGAAAGAAGAAGGAAAGAAAGGAAAAAGGAAGGAAGGAAGGGAAGAAAAAGAAAGAAAGAGAAATGTATGACGCATGACCCAATTGAGGGTGGAGATAGGAGTCAGAAAGAGATTTAGGTCAGCGTCTTGGCCGATTTTCGAAAGTCATTTTGATAAGAATGTCGGTCAGAGCACTTGGCCTACTTTTGCGTGGAAAGGCTCATTGGATAAAGAGAAATTTTGGGAACAATGAAACAATCTTAATCAGAGAAGAAGTGTCTTTGGGTTGAGGGGAGTGACCAGTGGAACGATATACAGAGAATTGGACACCCACGTTAATAAAGTAGAGACACTTCAATGTAGATAATTAAGATTTTTTCGACTATCAGGAAAAACAAAGAGGTAAAAGAGGGACAATTGCTTTTGGCTCACAGAGGGCGCCAAGAAGGCGGAAAAGATCCTTTCTAAAGTCAAGACTAATTAGCAGCGGGCTGTTTGACAAAGTCCAGGTGAGAGAAAGCCAAAGATTGTCATTTTGCGTACGTGCAAAAAGGGAAAAATTGGATTTTGTTTTTTTTTAAACAAGAACGATGTAACCACGCCCGCAAACAGGGGAGAGGATGTTCGATCAATAACAATTGGTGAATACGATCACGTGACCTGCGGAAGAAAAGGAAAAGAAATGTTTGACCAATAACAATTGGTCGAATACGATCACGTGACTTGCGGAAGAAAAGGAAAGAAATGCTCGATCAGGAACGATTGGTTGAAAAGCGGTCACCTGACATACGAGAGACTAAGAGAGATGGATATGCGCCGCCCCACCAAAGGTACTGCGAGGAAGTAGGGGCGGAAACAATAGCGATAATGGAGAAGACAGAATTAATGCAGTTTTGGAATTATCGAGAAAACCCTGACGCCGACAGACCCACCCCAGTTTGTTGCGGCGTCAATAAAAAGCAGGACCCCAGTCGACAGAAATCAGTAGAGTTGGAGTTGCAGTTGGAGTTGAGAGTTGGACGCGGGCAGGATAGAGCCTGAACGCCGCCATCAGGCCCCGATTCACTCGCCCCTGCGGGCAGAAGAATCCTCAGACAAGAAATCCTTCCAGCCCAAGTCGAAGACAGGAGAACTTCCAGCCCAAGTAGACGAAGAAGAAGATTGCCTGAAAGCCTGAGAAGAATTGGAGATGCAGACAAGCCGAAAAGTCGATGAGAAGTTAGAGTTCATCCCGGATTGGCAGCGAGAAAAGAACCCTCAGACAAGAAGAACTTCCAGCCCAAGTAGATGAAGAAGAAGATTGCCTGAAAGCCTGAGAAGAATTGGAGCTGCAGACAAGCCGAAAGTCGATGAGAAGTTAAAGTTCAGCTCCGGACGGCAGTGAGAAGAGACCACCTCAGGCGACAGAGAGTTGCGGCTAAGTTGAAACAAGAAATCTTCCACCAAGTTGAAACAGGAAAACTACCAGCCCAAGCAGACGAAGAAGAAGAAATATAACTCAAGTCGGAGAGAAGAATCAACTGCGAATGATCGATAGAAATTAGCCCCAGTGTCGAACTGAACCACACTCCGACATACATACATGATTCTAGAAAGTAGGTAATTCGACATTTTTCTATTGTGTGATAGAAGCTTGGTGCCATAGTCCACAGAGCGGGTCGGGAAATGAGAACACTTTTGTTTTTATGTAACGGACTTTAAGATATAAAAGGTTGTTACCCTTTTTATCAGCAATTTTGTTTGGTGTTGTGAGTTTTATTTTATTTGTGTTTTGCCACCCCGCCGGACTCAACTTGTATCGCCCCGATCCCTGCTGGTCCCGTCTGTCTAAGATCTAAACACAGCGTGGGTAGACAGACGGAGATTGGTATAGTTGCTTTTAGTGACCAGGTATTGGAAGCGAGTCGGGAAAGGCGAGGCTGGTGATCATCTGACCAAAGGGTTGGAGCGGCACGCTTGGACCCAGGAGGAGCGACCAGGAGGAGCGACGTCACCGTTGGCGCCGTAACCAAAGGATCCGACACTGGGCCAGGTGTGTAACCGTCACACAGAGTAAAAAGATTGATACTGTGAACTAGCAGAGTACAATAATAATAATTGGAAAAGGTATTTAAAGAATCGCATGTGAAGACATCCTGATAACGTAACAAAATATGCTGCTAATTTTATGACATAGGTACATTTTTAAAATCTATGTGAATCAACCAATGTTGATGTGATCCTTAAGGGACTATAAAAAAAAAATGTTTTTCATTATTGACATCCATATATTTTGAAAAACACTTACAGATAAAAAGCAATAAAAAAGATAAAGAAAAAATTCAACTAATTCAATTACTAGGTAGTCAATACAAAAAATATTGCATAAAGATTTGAAGTATAGAGAATATGACTGTAGAACTGTGCCCCATCTAGCTACCATCGGCATCTGTGGTTGAATTGGCCAAGCTATTGACATGTAACAAGAATAACAGTTACTATTTCATAATAACATCTCAGCACCAGGTAAGACAGTTTAGGATACTTCATTTTAATGTGTTGAATGCTATAGTCATAGACAAGAAAAAAGAAAGATTGGAGTGATTTTGGTAAAGGTCAAATTGATATGTCCAGAAGATTAGGTAAGAGTTTTTCCAAAACAGCATGGCTTGTGGAATGTCCATGCTCAGTCATAGTGTATACTTTTTTGTAGTGATCTAAGGAGAGAAAAAATTAGTCATAAAACATTGGGCAGCTAAGACTTATCAGTGTGACAAGTGAACTGAAGCTCTCCTGTCAAATAAAGGACCACAAAATGACTACAGCGACACAAATTGCAGATAACTTTAATCATGAAAAAGGAAGGAATGTGTAAATTGATCTTGTGTATGGTGTGGTGTAATTGTAGGCCAGTAAGTGTACCAAGGCTAACCAATGTCAATCATAAAAAGTTTTCAGTGAGTATGTGATTATCAGACTTTGTATTAATGGAAAAAGGTTGCATTCCATTTTGCATAAAAAAGGCTGGTTTTACATATCAGCTGCTCTGTTGATTGAGCTACATGAACGTTTTTATTGACAGAAGATTAACTCTAATCCTATTTTAATTATGTGTGCTTCATTGTTCTTGGAAAGTATTGGCCCTAGGATACACTGTGGGAGAGCAACAAACTAGGTAATATTCTGAAAAATACTAAAGTCCTATCATTTATACAGAAGGTACTTTGCCATCTAGTACCTGTGTCAAAATTATTAGACCAGGTAAACCATTTTATGACAGCAGTCTTTGCAGTACGATCTTTCAGCAGACAATATACCCTTGTACACTGTTATGGTACTTGTATGGGAATAGTTTAAAAAAACTTTAAGCAGATTTCATTGTGTTGTACTGGCCTCCAAATTCCACAGATCTCAGTCCCATTGAGCATTGATAAGAACCTCCATAACTTGGAGCAGTTAAAGGACCTGTTTTTAACATACTGTCACTAGATGCCAGAGTAAACCTTTAGAGGGCATTTGGAATCCATGGCTGATTAAGGGACATAGGATTAATCTCGGATGAGGCAAGTGGTAATTTTTGTATGGAAAACTGACAAAATTCAATACTTGGTTAATAAAAAAACAAGATAGAAAGCAATAAAATTTAAACAGCCTTGTAACATTCAGTACATTGAGCTATGCAAGAAACATGGAAATTAATGGCTGTGGTATCAGCAGCATGTTCTTGTGTCTTGCATTTAGTCTTCCAACAAGCAATCATTTTTCAAGCTCAAGTAAAGGCAAGGTTATTGAATGTTGGTTTTCAAGATAGGCAGGCCTTCTGCCTTAGAAGATTGTCATTATAGAATCTTTGTTTTTTACTTCCATTTCTCCCTTACCATTTGTTATTGTGTAGGACTCTATTGAGTTTTGTAAATATTAATAAAAGAAGTCTTTGTCCACAATTTAAAACAAACAAAATTGTCAGCTTCATTCTACAAAGCTGTAGGAAGCTGAATTGAATCCTGTATTTTATATTTAGCAATAAGTCCTTACTTGCAGAATCATCAATGATAGTGAAAAAGTAGAAAGGGAAAACTTAATTTGGAGCTTTACTTTTTGACTACACACTCATCTAAATTTTGTAATATAAGAGATTGAAATATGGATAATTTTTATATACTTTATATTTTATAAAATTCTGTTTTCTTAAACCAGAAATGTTCAGTATAATGTATTAGGTTGAGTCATAAATAATTTCAGTTTTTGTTTATCAGCATTATTCTTCAAAAAATAAAATACAATTATATATTCACCTTTATTTGCAATGACTTGTTGCTACTTATCAGAAACCTCTTTGATACCTTTTGAATTAAAATTCTGTAGGTTTTGATGTGAAAGAGTTTTTGGAAAACTCTTCTATCTGGTTTTTATTAGAAAGTTTTCCCTATTAAAACATTTTACCATGATTGGCAAAGGTAATTGGTTGGTGTAAGGTCAGGTAACTATAGTTGGTAGGGGTAAAACAAATCAACTGAACTCCAAAATATTTTCTGTTATTTTTGCTGTGTGTGACTTTGCCTTGTTATGGAGGAGAACAACATTTTCCCATTAATCCACTATGTACACTGCCACTGATATGCAATAACTAAGGTATATTAGTGTACTTCAAATGTAATTCTTAATTACCACATATGTTTAGTAGTTAGGATGATACATTTGTCATTGGTCCTCCAAAACAGATTACTTATCACTGAACCTAATAATTAAATTTCATGTACATTAATTATTAATTTATTTTCTGTTTGTAGTTACCTAGACGTGACCATTGGGGAGTATTACAAACATGTTTCTGACCCATATGAACAAGCTTGGATTCAAACTCAGGTTTGTATTAAAAAATATTCATATAATTTTAGCTTGATTTATCAGAAATTGTATCATATTGATGTAAATTAAACTGGAAAAAAGTTAACAGAGCTTAGGATATCGTGCTGTTGTTGAAATTACAATATCCAATTAGGCAATATGAAAATGTCAGAAAATTTTACATTGAACAATAAGACCCAATCTGAAGATGACCAGAGAGGGAACTGGTCAAACATTT